AACAAATAAATAAACAATGTAAAAGTGACAGAATCCAATGAAATATTGAAAAATTATAGCTGGTTGGAAATCACTGTACTGTTCACTATACAAAATCATGTGATTTTGCTAACAATGACAGAAAATCGTCAACTCCAAAAAAAATGACAACAAAACTGATGAAACCGCAAATATCAGGAATTTGCCGTTTCATGGTAACTATATGTAAAACACTTCCTTGTCGGGAATTATTCGGCCCGCATACCGTGCGAATCGTCAAACCAGTTGCAAGGTACTGTGACCGCCGCCATTTCAGTTATAATAACTATATATTATGAGAGTTGTTCAGTAGTGTCACATAAGATCGAAACATGCACGTAATAACGTGAAATATTTTACTTTGTGAATATTATCCAATGAATTTTAATAATGGGAAATTATTCCCTTTCCGTGTTGAATAAAATGAAGTGCAAAAAGTCAACCACAACCACTTAATGAAAAATGGGACGTTAGGTCCAGAAACCATGAGACCATGGGCAATGAGATGGTATCACAAAATGAGCCAGTAAACGATAGCGACCCCAAGGCACAGAAACGAGCCGAATAGGGTTCACAAAAGCAGAACTTCTAGGGAATTGAATATGTGCTATTGATTGATATTGATTGAACCAATCACCTGATAAAGTTGATAAATAGGGAAAAATAGAAAGTATGAAAGCAAAAACTAATGAAGAATGACCCAGTGCTCCTAGATCGACACCTTACCGTTCAGGAATAATCAATAACCTGGGCTAAGGTCAGCTCACCCGTTGATCGATCATTAATTACCGTAGCAGTATCTCAGGTCACGTGAAAGCAACGGTACTAACCTCCCCTCCCCCTATTTTCATAAATGTATCGATATAAAAATCAGTATTAAGTAAAGTTTTACAGTAATCGATACTGGAATCTGTAGCGAATTATTAAAAGGCCTTTTTAATTAAAAAATCGATAAGAGTAAGTGTCCCACCTCCCTTATACAGCAATGGAAAACATAAAAACTGCCTAACAATTAATCAAAGTGGAGGGAATTAATCGAGTGAAGCCATGAGAAAAATGAATAAAAAATAAAATAAATAATATACTGAAGTAAAAAAGTAATTCCTCAGGGTATCCTAGAGGAGGTTTGCTTGAAGGACCCTAAAACGACTCGGAGAACGACCCTTCCCAGCAGGAACAGAGTGTGAATGTTTCAAAATTTGTACGGCTCCCAATTCCCACCCCCTCCCTCCCGCCTTTAGGGATTACCCATACGATCCTCTCCAACGGTCTATGGTGTCCAGAGTATCAGCAAACTTGACATCACTTGACACTCTCCAAGTCCCGCCTCCAGGACTCATTGAAAGCAGTGTGGAGGTGGAAGGAACCAGCCTCACAGCAAATTCTCACATCTCTGTCTATGCATTACAGACATTTTTCCATTGCATGACCTCTTCTGACAGCCCCAAATACGACCCCCTCGCTAAATACTACTCGCTAGGTAAACTCCTACAAATACGATCCCATCGGTGGAGAACTCCAG